CGCATTTTTGACGATTTGCGGCTTCTCGCAGGTGGATTGGAAACATCGGTGATTTTTGTAATTCGGCTGGCTTGGCTCAACTGCGGCTCTGCGATGCTGGAAATCTGAAACATAGTCGTTTTTGTTTGTTTTCCTTGGATACTGCTTCATCTTGGTTCGAGGCGGCTGGATGGTAACCGGATTCGAAACCTTGTCGATTTTTTCTCTCTTCGCTCTGGTAGTGATATCGGCTTTGCGAATGGAAGCTTTGTGTAAATTACGGCTTAGGACTTGGTTTGTGTTACTGGACATCGGACTTAGGACGTTGTCCGGGATTCTTGGATTCGGAATGGAAAATTGGGTGAAAATCTTACTTTCCGTCCTGACAGCGGCTTCGGCTTCAGGATTAGAAACATTACGTAGTTAATGCTTTGCCTTCGATTACTTTTGTTGGAAATCGGGCTTGGAGCTCTGTGCTGGATTTTGAGGTTTGGATTGGAAACATGGGTGAAAGTTTCACTTTTTCCTCTGACAGCGGCTTCGGCTTTAGAGTTAGAATCATTATGCAATTTAATGCTTGTGTTATGATTTCGTATGCTAGAAATCGGACTTGGAGCTCGGTGCTGGATTTTGAGGTTTGGATTGGAAACATGAGTGAAAGTTTTACTTTTTCCTCTGACAGCGACTTCGGGCTCGGGATTGGAAACTTTGTGGAATTTATCATTTATAGCTTTGCTTGCTGCCTGGACATCTCGCGCTGGAGCGTCGTCCTGGGCGTTGGAACTTGGATTCGAAAGATAGTCGAAATCTGAAGTTCGCTCGTTCAGATTATACAATATGTTAGATTTCATTCTACGTTAGTACTATATTTTCTATGTCCATAAGTAATAAGGCTTCGCACCACGGTCTGTAAAGAGACGGTCGCCGCATAAGTCAATCAGCCAATAAAAAACAAATACGTCACGAAATACCTCAGTTTATCTTCGTTCAACCGTCATCACTTTCTAACTCATTGCTTTTCCCATAAGAAAATAACAGGCAAATTTAAAATCGTCATGTTTCTTGTACCACGCTCCTTTTAACATAAAATAATAAATTTAATCAGTTATGATTATGGTTCATTAACAGGTATTTTGAGTCTAAAATGTTACCTTTATATACAAACTGAACCTTTACATTGGAATTTGGAAATAAAAGGATGAAATGTGAAATTGTCTTGAACACACATCACGATCGGTCACCATTTTTGACGTTTGGTTACATAATTAACCTAAAATTTGTGTTAATTTTATTACAGATATCTATTAATATCCATAAACTCTAATAAAATGAAGAGGGGAAGTGAATATATAAACAATTTAGACCTTTCGTAATATTCTCTTGGCTCCAAAATAAAAAATTTATATGTTTTTGTATCTGCTTTTGTCTTTAGTTAAATTTCAAATAACTTACCAAAGTACTTTATAATAGGCTGCAACATAATTTATTTTCGTACTTACCAACTAGTTTTACAGTTGATGTTCCGAATTTAAAAATTCCTAAGTTTTTACAAGTAAACTATACAGTAGTTTTTAGCTTTGAAAGAGTTT